GGTTTTCTGTGTTTTAGTCAGGTGCATTTACCAGAGCATGGAGTATGAACAGGTACTTTATGATGGTTTTCCATCTCATTCAAGATGAGCTGTTCTTGTAGTCCCTTCATTTGGTGATATGCAGAACCGGGCTTGCCTGACTGCAGTGCTCAGGACCTGGTTCTGCATTAATGTACTCTGACTTGAGAAAGAAGGGCTTCAGAATGGCTGAAGGAATGTTTGCAAGACAGAATACTTGTTAACAGCTGATTAATTAATCTAAGACAAGTTGTGGCCTGTGGCTCTATCCAGGAAGTTTATCAGTTTGCATTTCCCCTGACTGTCTGAAGGATTTGTGGTATGGTTTAAATGGAGATTTGAGATCTCTGTGTGTGGGCAGGAGTTGGTATTCCTGTGGCAGCAATGACAGGATTGTTCCTGGTGTTGATACATCAGTGAAGACAAGCCTGAAGCAAAAACTTTTTATTCTTTTCTTAATATGGTTTGATTGTGGAATGACCGCCACTACCAATGAAAATGAACCCTAAGTTCAGTACTTTGTTGGCTGTCTGCAAAATTGTACTATCAGTCCTTCTTTCTTTTAGTTTATTAAGTTTTTTGACTGGGTTATGAGATGAGAATGAGTTATTATGCAAGATATGAGCAAGTAAGTTGTATATTTCCATGTATATCCTTGTTCATATAACTTCTGCTAAAGTAATTTATTTTTGATTACTTTGCAGAGAACACAAGAATGGCTCTCTATAAAATATCTTAGCTATGATTATTGCCCAAGGTAACATCATGTTTAAATTTAAGACTTTTATACAACTCTGTTCTTGGAGTATGTGGTGTTTGGCACACTAAATCTTTGTAGATTTTATTTCATTGTTAATAACACTTTGAAAAGGAAGAGCACATACTCTCACTCTCTTGTCATGTTCATTGCAGGGGCTTGTGACAAAGACTGAGATACATATTTTGAAGATCTCTCCTTAAAATCAGTTCAAAAATTAATGAATCAAACATGTGAAATCTGATTGTTAATCTCTGAAAAACTATTTCTTTCCACTACATGACCCAAAGCTTAGGTATGCGATTGGTTGGCATTTTGCCTTGGGTGAGTGGTTTCATCTTCTATCAATTAATTATTTGTATCTGTAATTACTTGAAAAATTTGGTGTGAATGTCAATGTACTGAATGCCATAGGAAAAGGACTCTCCTTGGATGGCAGATTCCTCCCTGAGTATTGGTTTGTACAATTTATGGATACTCAGATCCCACAGGATGGGCCCCATAGGAACAGCAGAGCTGACTGGAACTTGCTTTAGGAGCCTCTTGGAGCAGGACAGCATTGCTGTCACTGCCAAAGGGAAGCAAAGGAAGAGGGCACTGGTGTGAACCTGTTTATTGTAGAAGACCACCCCCAGCTAGGGAATAATGTGCTCTGACTCCATGATTTCTGAAGGCTGAACAATTGCTTTATTAAGCTATGTTATGTTACACTAATACTATATATTAAAACTATATTAAAGAGATACTGAAGAAAAACTTGTGACTGTCTCCAACAGTCACTACACAGCTTTGACATAATTGGCCAATCAATCCAAACAACCCTCACCGGTGTCCAATTAAAAAAAAAATCTCTCAGTAAATAATCTCCATAACACATTCCATATGTGCCAAACAACAGGAGCAGCGAGGAGAGATAAGAATTGTTTTCATTCTTCTCTGAGCTTCTCATTGGCTTCCCCAGGAAAAATCCTGGGAGAGACAATTATGTCTCTCTCTGTTCAGAGAATGTGAATGCCACACCTGTTCCCTCCTCATCCAAGACAGGAGGAGGCCAGGCTGGTGGGGGCTCTGCAGGTCTCTGCGCGCGTGTGTGTTGGCTTTGCGGTTGGACAAGGTAGGAAAAAGGGATATAGGAAAAGAATTTTTTCTCCAGTCACCTTTGCTGAATCCTTATCCAGTTGGGAATGGTTTTGCAGAGACTGCAGTGAAGGGAGAAGGGCCTTAAGGGGAAGCTATATAGGGAACTTGGTCTGTTCAGCCTGGAGGAGACTGAGGGGATGCCTCATAGCAGTCAGCAGCTTCTTCATGAAGGGAGGTGGAGAAGCAGGCACTGATCTCTTCATTGTCAGGACCAGTGATAGGACTTGATGGAATGGCCTGAAAACAGGGGAGTTTTAGATTGGACAACAGGAAAAGGTTTTTGACCCAGACAGTGTTGGGCCCTGGAACAGGCTCCCCGGGGAAGTGGTCATAGCACCAAGCCTGAAAGAGTTGAAGAAGCATTTGGACAACACTCCCAGGCACATGGTGTGATGTTTTGGCACATGGGCTGTGGTGGGCCAGAAGCTGGATATTGATGATCCCTACAGGTCCCTTGCAGCTCAGAATATTTTGCAATTCTGTGATTGTATGGAATTGTTGAAACAGAGACTGTTACTCTTTCTGTAGGATCCTAGTTCTGGTTTAAGCTAACTTTCTTTCTTTTATGCTTTTTAGTGCAGACATTATTAATTGGGAGACATCTCTTTCGTGGAATGTTTCTCCTCTTTCCATTAAAGACTCTTTTCTAGCTACTGTAATCCTCCTGGCTGGCAGTTCAAAGGAGAGCTTAGTTTTTCGCCTTCTGAACAGGCTGACAGATATATTCTTTGGTGTTACTGATGGGAACAACCTAAGAAAAACAAGAGGGGAGGGGTGGTGGTGGAAAAGAACCCAAGTGACACATTGAAGATGGTGTCTCCCAATAATTCCTAGCTGTCCATAGGCACTTGGCTACCTCTGTGCTCAGGTTGCAGACTCAGCGTGGGAAAAGTCTCCTTGTTTCTTTCACTGTTGCTTTGATACTCAGACGTTGAGAAATGTCTTCTCAAGAAGACCTATCTTCAATAATTTTTTCCCCGAAAGCATGCACTAATTACAGCAGCAGAATTGTGAAGAACATTGGCTAAATATAAATTATGGAAGGGAATTAAATACAGCTCCCAGCTGAGCTTAGATTCTCAAAAAGTCTTTTAATGTGTTCATCTGTTTCACCACTTACCGTACTTGATAATTTTATCCTAAGCTATATGTCGTCTTGGAGTTCATCCTACTGCAGACTTTGTAGATATCTCTGCTTTGTCACAAAACTCACGTGCAGCTCTCTGGCAGACATCCTGTGTTTTATTTCAAGTAAATACAAATTTACAGCCTTTACTGAGCCATCTTCTTAGCACCATTACTTGGTGTCCCTGCCCGAGTCTCACCAAATCCTGGAATTGCATGTGGTAACCCTCATGTCATATTAGTAGAAAAAAAGGTTAGGTATCCATTGAAAAAAAAAAAAAACACCACTGAATTAATGATTCTGCCACCCAGATGTTAACACTGCTTGTGTCCCCTATGTCTCAGATGGAAACCAAGATTTTTGAACTTGGTGATGGGTGCTTTCTAAATTCCGTGTGTTGAATTTAGGATGCCAATTTAAAAGGAATTAATTCTCAGTGTTTGGTGGTGCTTCTTGGACAGTCAGACTGTTTCCAGGTTGCTTGAGGCTGAACAGGGGAAATAGAAGTATCCAGTTGTCTACAGGTTTCTCAGACTGACATTCAAATTTCATTTGTGGGAAGCTTTCCTCTCCCCCTTGTCCTTATACAGAGGCTTCTGAGATGTGAATGAGACATTCTATTTTACTCATTTTTTAGATACTTATTTTCAGCTGGATGATATTTGATTTGGCTCACTGCCCTGAATTTTACTTATCATGTTTTCCTTTGCATTTTCAATGCTTTGTACATAAATTTGTTCATTTATTCTTAATGGAGCTCTTTTAAGAAAGCTGATCACATGCCACACTAAAGGACACCTGTCCCTGCTGTGAAAGTAATCTTGCAAAGATGTATTAGCAAATGCATTTGTAGCAGTGAGACTCATGGAGGGCTGAGAGGTAACAGAAGTCATCTGTATGAAGCATCTGGAGCAAATCCCTGAGCCCAGGCTGGGACATCAGCCCACACCACATTTTGGGGACAGGATCAGTAGATTCCATGGCCAGGCAGTTCAGGGCTGTGTGGAGCTGGCAGTGCTACACATTAGGACATGGGGTAAAATGGGGTCCTGGGCCACAGGCAGAGGTAGGAGTGTCTCCAGGAGAGGTCAGAATGGGACAAAAAGGGCTGTTCATACTCTCAGGACCCTGCCTGCAGCTCTAATGTTATCAAGAGTTACAGAGCCATCAGTAGTTTGGGATTTATAGATGTTTGTAGATAATGTACTGACAGCAAATGAGGTTGAAATTTGCTAAAGAAGTTGGCCATTATTAATAACTTCCCTTGATCAAATTAATGCATTTCAGGATGATAACACATGGTAATCTCTCTTTAGAGACTGTTCTTGGCAGGGGATAGATGCATGTAGCTCTAGTTTCTCTGTGCGTGTGTGACAGGATGGGATGAAATAATAGTGGTGAGCTCCTTATATGTGGTTATATTTGTATTCCCTTGCTTAAATGAGTAAGCCCTTCTGCTTTGAGTTTGGCACATTGGTGATATTAAAAATGCCTTATAATGCTGCCTGAGTCTTTCTTGTAAAGCTTATCAGGCTATGTGGCTTGTGCCCAGCTGTTGCTTTTTGCTGTACACTTCTGAGCTGCTGCAGTGCTTCACCCCAGAAACTGCTGCTCATTGAGCTCTGATAGAAATGTCCCTGCTGTGGTGTTACACCAGCCAGAATGTACATTCATCCCTCTGAGCCTTGTGGTACAAATGTAGCACAGCACAAGCCAAATGGGTGCTCAGAGATGCCCATAAGGGACTTGGTTGGCTTGAATACAGAAAGTCTTCTCAGCATTTGAAGGCTTCAGGCTGATCTTAAGCACTGCATGGCCATATATTTTTCAGCTGGGACCAGAGGATGCGCAGGCTTATGCCTCTCCAACTTCACTGTGTGCTATGATTCTTTCTAGCCAAACAGATTGAGGGATGTTAGTTATTTCTGGCTTATTGCTTCCTGTTTATTCCTTTTCCAGGTGTGCAAGGAGAATTGCTGAAACTTCAGAAGCATCTGCTTCATGTTCCATCCAGCAGAAATGCCACATTTCTGGCAAGTGGGTAAATACATACAGTACTTTTAGTCCTGTTTTGCTGCCTTAATAGGCACAGATTCATTTGAAGAAAAGCCTAAACATTTTGAGGCATAGCTGAATTCCAGCCCTGAAATTTCTGAAAGTTCACAACAATGAAGCGAAGCAGTAGAAGGAAATGCTTGAGAAGCAAGACATCTGGATTGACCTGGGCTGTCCACCTACATCAGTATGCAATGCAATACAAATGCAATAGTAGTGGGGGATCTGCAGAGCAAAAGAGCTGGCACGGCAGACTCAGCAGGAAAGATACACTTTTCAGGGGAATATGCTCTGGATTAGTCTCATCCTGAAGGGTCCACATCTGTCAGTGACTGGAGTGCCCTATGGGCAGTTGTGGAAAGCTTCTTCTTACAGGTGAGTTTTGTCTGAAAGACACCAGCTTGTGTTCTACAGGACTGCTCAGCCATGTGAACCAAAATGTGGTAAATGGGAAAAATTGGGAGATTCACTTCAAAAGGGCACTCTTGATCTGAACTAAAAGGCTAACACAGATGGACCTGTAATCTTGCCCTGTCTGTCATGATTTCTAGTAAATAGTCTAGGAAACTGCTGCACAAATCTGAAAGCTCTACAGAGGTCTCCCTTTTATTTCTTCTCACAATGCTGGCAAAGGTACTGTTTATTCCAAGCTAAATGTCCAGTTATGGCTCAAGTACTTTATTTAATTGGTGATAAAACCTACTGTGTGTGTTGGGATTTTTAAAAAGGCCAATTTGCTGCAGTCTAACATCCCACACAGGCTGTTTGCTTGAAAGCCAAATTACTGGTTTTATTCAAGTATCATTAAGGGCAAGTGAAAACGGAAGGAATTTCTTAAGATACAGGGAGTAGGGAATCTGCATTAAATGAAATTTGCCAGAGGAAGAAAATTCTGGTTTATGTTTTCTGTGGCACTGTTTCTGCAATGAAATTTCCAAGGGGATTCTTATGGAACTGTAATCCAGAAGCAAACAGATCAGCTTTAATTGTGTTTTCCTGTGGGGAAGAAGCACAAGCTCAAACACCCACCAGTGTTTCTTGACTGAAGCTTTCATCTGTTTTACACTGCAGGGTTTTTTTTACCAACTGAAGGTGAAAAGATTTGAAAAAGTCTTTCAAACATGTAAGAGCTGAGGGAGGTGAATGGGGTGCAAGGATGAATTAGTGTTTATGTCCTGAACTTGCTGGAGTTTTGTTCATAATTACAGAAGGTTATTCTTTGTGTGCCATGGTCTGAGTGGTGGGAGGAAGCTGAAGCCACTGATCAAAATTCAGAATGTAAAATTGTTTCCCTTCTGTAAGTTCAGCAGGGTTTTGCTAATGATCCCTGAAAACCAGGATCTCATGGTGAATGCTTAGACAGTTCAGCTGTGGTATGGCTGTTTGAAAAAGTGAAATCAGCTGGGAAGAAAAAGAGGAATAATGATAAGTAATCCAATTTCAGGGGTAGCTTTTCAACAAACACAGGGAAGGATGGATCATGTGACAAAACTCTTCAAGATATTATCAGGACAAATGTGTAAACTTGCAGTCTTTCCTCTGGGAAGACTAAGTCATACTGGGACAGTCACAGACACGATGATTAGTGGAACAAGGAGCGTGATGCCAATGTAGAGGGCATAAAAGACATTGTTTCTCAAACAATGTCATAAAAGGACATTGTTTCTTTAGCCAAACAAAATAAACATGGTGGAACATTACCATGTCAATAGTCAAGAAAGTTAAGTTCCCAACAAGAAGGACAAATCTGAGAGAAGTGTCAACAGAGGATTGTGAACAAATGGTTATTAAAGAGCAATACATAAAGTGAAGAGGCAAATTGGATTCCCAACCATCAGAAGCATGAGGTTCTGAACCAGCTTTCTTTGAAAGTCCCTCCACAGTAGTGGCGGCAAAAATCCATGTCTAAGGCTGAGCTGATATTACTTTGTGAAAGGAATAGTATGAGGCTGTGCCTGCAAGAGGAGGGGACCAGATACAGTGATCATTCAGGATGCTCCTTCAAGTTCTGTATTCTGATACACAGCTGTTGGAACACAGTGAAGAAAAAAAAAGAAAAATTCAACTCATGTAAAAGCAGATATTTTTATAAATAAGTCAATAAATGTGTTTCCTTAGGATCATGTAGTGAATGTGGAACACAATCAAAGCAAAGGCAGTGTTGTTATCTTTGCTGATAGAGGTGCATTATCCAATACAAGAGGTCAAATGATTATTGTATTCTTGCTTGTGCATTAGGTTGGGATATATTCTGGTTTTACTTGCCTGGAATTTTTCTTGAGATGTGTACATGTTGTAGCAATGCTGTTCATGCCTGTAAACAGGAAGGCTAATTATTACAGCAATATGGATGAGGTAATGGAGCGTGACTGTCAGGAGTGCAAGTGGTGAGCAGGCAGATAACAGGCTAATGACTGAGACCTTGTCAGAAAAACGAGAGCTCTGTGCAAGATGCCTGCAGTATTGTGCACTGGGGAAATGGAGGCTGGAAGTGGCCAAGCACAGCAATTGAAGACACATGGTTTGAGGTGAACACATACTGCTGATGATGACTGAGGCTCAACTGTATGCTTAATGAAATGAAGCATTTTAAATAAGGGGAAAGTACAGGATGCAGTGTTAGAAGATTTGATTAAATATATGCAGACAGGAGCTGTGATCTGGCTGCTTTCTTGGGTAGCTACATCTGGACCTTCCTATATGCTGCTATAAACAAACACAGAATCAGTCATAGAATGGTTTGGGTTGGAAGGAACCTTAAAGGTTCCAACATCCCTGACGTGGACAGGGACAACCATTAGTTCTAACATCCCTGTCATGGATAGGGACAACCTCTACCAGACCAGTTGGTTTGAAGCCATGTCCATCCTGGCTTTGGGCATTGCGAGGGACGAGGCACCCACAGTTTCTCAGAACAACCTGTTCCAGTGCCTCATCACCCTCATAGTAAAGAATTTTTTCTTAATATCTAATCTAAACCTGCCTTCTGTCAGTTTGAAGCCATTCCCCCTGGTACTATCACTACATGTAAAAAGTTCCTCTCCAGCTCTCTTGAAGGCCCCCTTCAGGTACTGTAAAAATGCGATAAAGTCTCTTCTCCGGACTGAACAATCCCAACTCTCTCAGGCAGTCCTGACAAGAGAGGTGGTGCAGACCTCTGGTCATATTCCTGACCCTCCTCTGGACTCACCCCTACAGTTCCACATCCTTCCTATGTTTGAGCCTCCAGAGCTGGATGCAGTGCTTCAGGTTGGGTTTCACTAGGGCTGAGGGGCAGAAATAGCTCACTTGACCTGCTGGCCACATGCTAGATGTGGAACAAACAAAGTCTTTCAGGTGAAGGTGGTCTTGAGGGAAGACTGTGGTTAAATGGGATGGAGGATGTAGGATCTATCTCTTGTCAGTGAGAGAGAAAGACAGATAATTGATCTGCCAATTATGACTAGTGGGTATGCACTTGTGAAAAAAACACTGTTACACAACTAAGAACCAAGAGACTGTGGAAGTGAAATATCCATCAGAAGCAGACCTTGATGCACATTTCCCTTAATATGAGTGGATTGCTGCAAAAGACAGCTTTTGTTATCTCTCAAGCTACATGCCGTTCTTGCATTCCTGGTGCCTGAAGCTCAAAACACGCATGGAGCTCAGAGGAGGTTGTACAAAATTAATCTATATTGAAGAGGTCTTTCCATGATCAGTACAGTGGAAAGAGTTAAAAACCAAATATTTAAAGAAGGACAATAACCTTTACCTCTGCCACTAGAGGAAATACATGTCTAGCACGTTACGTTGCACGCGGATAGGATTCTAGTGATTGGAGTCTAGCACAAATCAGCTCATCAAGCTTGTTAATGAAAGCACTCCTCTGATTTAAATTGCTCAGTAAACTGGTCATGTGGAAATCTTAATGGGCAGCACAGCTTGTAAAAGTAAATGAAAAGATGCAAAGCTTCTGTCTCATGTTGGCTACAGACGAGTCTAGTGCAGCACCTCAACACATACAAGTTCAAATGTGGCAACTCTGTCCCAGTAGGGGCAAGGCAGCTGTTTAACTTGGACATTATTATTATTATTATTATTATTATTATTATTATTATTACTATTACTATTACTATTATTATTATTATTATTATTATTATTATTATGCAGTGGCCTTGCGTCTTGTTCTATGAGACAAGTTCCCTTAAGGAGAGTGTTCCCAGTAGGGTGCTGGAGGAGCCAGTCAGGAGAGAGCAGCTGGAGAAAAATTCAGCTGAGAATATGTGGAGCTGTGCCAAGAGCCTCTGGGCCAGGAGGAATATTCATAGAATCATTCATAGAATGGTTTGGGTTGGAAGAGACCATAAAGACCATGTAGCTCCAAGCCCCCTGCTGTGGGTAGGGACACCTTTCACTGGACCAGGTTGCTCAAAGCCCCATCCAGCATCATCCTGTATTGTAGCAGAGCCATCAAGTGAATTGCCTGAAGAGGCTTCTGCAGGTCAAGACTGTCCTCTGAGGAAAGTGAAAAGAAGGGCTGTTTGGGCAGCAAACCTGGATATGTACAACCAGCACAGCAAGTAGGATGCTGCCTAGCTCATTAAGAGGTGAATTTGGAGGCCCAGATTTGCTGGATCCCATGCACGTGGGGAACCAGCAAACCTGGGCAGTTGCTCACCTGAGATAACCTTGGGAAGGCTGTTGAGATCAAAGACCAACCCTTTAGCCAGGTGAGTGAAGTGACAGAAGTGAGTCACAGCTTCTGAAGTTGTTATCAAATACTCCCCAGCTTGCAGTCCAGCAAGGAGTTCAAACAGAAATTTAAAGGGGATGCAGCTTTAGTTTCGGACCACAGTGTATCTACCAAATCCAAACCGGAAAGACAATGTGTGTGTATAGGGAATAACATCTCAGATGCATTAAAAAAACCCAACCTCAAAACAATCTTATGCTTGAAAGTCTAGCTTAGTGATGGTTCTTTTAGTTTGGGTTTGTGATTTTTTTATTGTTTGGGATTTTGTTTTGGTTTTCGGTTTTGTTTGTTCGTTTGGGGGGGTTGTTTGTTTTTTGGTGATTATGTTTGTTTGTTGGGTTATTTGTTTTAGTTTTTGCTTTGCTTTGGGTTTGGGTTTTGTTTTTTGTTTTGTTTTGGTGGGTTTTTTTATTTGTTTTTGTTTGTTTGTTTAATGGGTTTTTTTCCCTTTAGTGCCACCTAATAAAAGCTGCTTTCTTCAGGTATGCTAAGAGTGACAGATGCAATAGAGATGATATAGAAAAGTACATAGTCCCCCATTTGCCACTTGAGGTGCAGTGTGAGGGCATTTTTTACTCAATCTACTCCCTTGGCTGTCGGATCTCAAGATCTCAGTCCTGAGGTGCTGAGCCACCGAGACCACCTTGGGGGGCTCGGGA